TAGCACTGTGTTGGCCTTTTTGGCAGCTGCAGCACACGGCTGGCTCATATTTAGGTGATTGTCCACTAGGACTCCAAGGTCCCTCTCACAGTTACTACTATTGAGCAAGGTACCCCCTATACCAGGGGTAGGCAACCTTGGCTCTTTTATGACTTGTGGACTTCAACCCCCAGAATTCCCGAGCTAGCCATGCTGGCTCGGGAATTCTGGGAGTTGAAGTCCACGAGTCATAAAAGAGCCAAGGTTGCCTACCTCTGCCCTATACTATACCTGTGCATTTGTCTTTCAAGGTCATTCCCAAATGCCATTATACCCACAGATTCCCCACTGTGATGTTTCAGCCTTGTGTTCTTGCTCTAAGCGCCTTCGCGCTTCCCGATTGACAAGCCTTTTGTGTATTAATAATAAATATCTCTGGATACGAACAGGGTGAAAGACAGACAGGGAAGCCTTAAATATGGACTCCGTCACTGTACAGCAGCATCTCTGAATTAAGAGAGGACGATAATAATCATGTTGGGTAGATAACCAGGCCATTATAATACAATATATTTAGAGAACAGCAGATTAAGGAAGGCTGATTAATGCCCCCCCTTTTTTTGAAGGGGTCAGATGAGGAGATGTTAACATTAAAAATTTACATTTTTCAGAAGCCATCCTACTCTTGGGTATAGGAGGAATTTTCGAAGCTATGATCTCTGCAGGTGGTCAAATGAGGTCTAAAGACATCTGGTTGGCTCTCTTTCGTTGGAAAAGAAATAGACTGGTTTTCGTCCAATTATGACATCTTGCAGTAATTTTGTCCTGGACAATTGGAGTTAATCTCAATTATTATCTTCTTTTTTTTTTTTTTTTGCTGTTTTTGTTGCTGTGCTGTTGCTGTCCAGATTCTAAAGCATAAGATGTTGACATTAAAGTAAAAAGTGATTTCATTTTGGAAATGGTTTCAGTGACATATAGATTTATTTTATTGTCTTTATCACAGTTAGTAATCAAAGTAAACATTTGCTGGACTTTGGAACATCACCACAGTTGAGTGGGTTACCTGGCTATCATTTAGCTGTTCTTCCAAAACATGGATAATTAACTTGTTAAGGCATCCAAACAGGCTCCTGATGAATTAACATTAAACATTTCTGACAGGCGCTGGAAAAGAGTACACAAAAGGAATTAACACTGAGAGGTGTTCTTTGCTATGGATATATAGCACCGTCCCAAATAGAGAGAATTTTAGGGCACATTCTCCCAAAAATATTTGAAAGAACAAGCAAAGGTTTTGAAGGGATTTTATTATGCTTAAGATTGATATTAGTAATATTGATATTAGTAGTGATATTTTCTAATTATTATATATATAATATATATATATAATATATTATATATATTATATATATCTTTGTTTATGTGCAAGCAGCTTTGTAGATGCTTTAGATTGGGAAATTAGTTATATAGAAGCAAATGTTTCATGCTTTGGTATAGGTGATTGCTTATATGAAAAGAGCACATTATAAGGGGAGGGAGAAAAGGAGTTAGGGATGGAGTCTGGGTTGCTGTGTATGAGTCATCATCTAGGAATTATTTTTTTGGGCCATCTTATGCCTGGTACCAAGACCTGATCTTTTTGTCCTGGAAAGGTATAAAAGGTGGAAGACATCTTTTCTGGTTGTTGCCTTCATCTCTCTACCAGCCACGAAGAGAGATGGGGTCACCCAACTCTTGTTTTGATCAAAATAAAAGTTATTTGCTTGCTGAAACCTCGACTCTTTGGCTCTTTTAAATTCCTGAGTAATGCTGGGGCAATTGTGAGGCTAAGTGGAAAACCTTACAGTTTTTTCCCCTTCTCCCTTACTCCCATTATTGGGATAGTTTGTGACCAAAGTGTGGCACCTACCTATTTTGGAAACTTGAAGGGTCTGTGACAAGGACATCTCTTATTTATTAAATGTGCATCGCATTCACACAAGTGGGAAGCAGTGAAGTAAAAATGGCTTCATCCAAGGCCCCAGCTGTATCCAAGATCCTAGTGGACAATCACTTAAATAGGAGCCAGCAGTGTGCTGCAGCTGCCAAAAAAGCCAACACAGTGCTGGGCTGCATTAACAGAGGGATAGAATCAAGATCACATGAAGTATTAATACCACTTTACAAGGCCTTGGTAAGGCCACACTTGGAATACTGCATCCAGTTTTGGTCACCACGATGTAAAAAAGATGTTGAGACTCTAGAAAGAGTACAGAGAAGAGCAACGAAGATGATTAGGGGACTGGAGGCTAAAACATATAAGGAACGGTTGCTGGAATTGGGTATGTCTAGTTTAATGAAGAGAAGGACGAGGGGGGACATGATAGCAGCCTTCCAATATCTCAGGGGCTGCCCCAAAGAAGAGGCAGTCAAGCTATTCTCCAAAGCACCTGAAGGCTTGACAAGACGCAATGGCTGGAAACTGATCAAGGAGAGAAGCAACTTAGAACTAAGGAGAAACTTCCTGACAGTTAGAACAATTAACCAGTGGAACAACCTGCCTCCAGAAGTGGTGAATGCTCCAACACTGGAGGTTTTTAAGAAGAGACTGGACAGCCGTTTGTCTGAAATGGTGTAGGGTTCCTGCCTGGGCAGGGGGTTGGACTCGATGACCTTCAAGGTCCCTTCCAACTTTATTATGTTTCCTGGGTCCCAGGCAAGGCAGAAATAGAGGAATAGTAATAAGGGGGACCACAAAATTCTGCTTGTTTTGAGGGCGTGCCGCACACATAAAATGCAAAGCACTGAACATACTTGCAAGAATCAAGTTGAACCGAGAAAAAGATGAAAGCTGATGGACTGAGAAAGTAAAAAAAAAAAAAAATCAGAAGAAGAAAAGGAATGTTTCTCTTAGCTATATTTTTCCATTCTTGTTGAAAAACCAAGCTGGGGAAAGGTTTTTGTGTTTGGAAGCCAGGAACAATTGTGCAAACAGCCCAGTCTTCCAAAAACTTTTCAGTTGTAGATTCTGTTTCTCTCCATGCCCTGACATCTTTTTGCCAAGTTTCTCTCAGCCATTGCTCTGTTGCTTTCCACCAACATAATCTCACGGGAAGGCCTAGTGATGATTAGTTACAGACCTAGACATTTTTGGGGGGAAAAGGGAAAAAAAATAGGAAAAGGCTATTTTCAAGTGCCATCTAGTGGCTTATTTGCTAGAGTGGAAATGATGGTTATCCTTCACCCCTCCAATTATTATTAACTATCTTCGGTTCTATGTATTTGACAGGGAACAAAACGCCATACAGGATTACTGGGCAATGTAAGACATGTCCTGTGCTTGTCTGATCAACTTTTATGGCTTTATGGCAGCGAGCTTCTTGATCTTGTGGTTTTTAATATGCTTAAACATTTGTATAAATATTTGCAGAGAGAAGAAACACTTACGTAAGAATTTCAGTGGCTGAAAACCAGGGCTCCAATGCGTTTAAATTTTCTTTATAACAAGCAGAATTAGATAAGGCTTGCTTAAGCTGTTATATCATTAATACAGCAGCAGTTTTCTAGCTTTGATAAGCTCTTTATTATGGTTTTGCCAAACCAGGTTTGCAAATTGAAATAGGATCTCTGGTACTGTACTTGAATGCCACATGGACCCCGTTCAACTCAGTGAACCAGACATTTTCAGACAAAAGGAAAAGGGTAGAATAGACAATTTAATCTCAATCTATAGATGGTGTAAGTTTCATTCCCATCTTATGCTCATTGTAAGAGAAAGATGGAAGTAAATCCTGTTCTTTCCTTACACGATTAACCTGATTAAGCTGACATTGCTTTACAAAATGGCACCCAGTCAGAATTTATCTGGTCTTGCAATTACCCATCTGGCTGTACACACATGTCTCATTGGCTGACTTTGACTAGTATACAGATTGTTATGGGCAAATATAATAATAGTAAAGTTGGAAGGGAGCTTGGAGGTCATCTAGTCCAACCCCCTGCTCAGGCAGGAAACCCTATACCATTTCGGACAAATGGCTGTCCAGTCTCTTCTTAAAAACTTCCAGTGTTGGAGCATTCACCGCTTCTGGAGGCAGGTTGTTCCACTGGCTAATTGTTCTCACTGTCAGGAAGTTTCTCCTTAGTTCTAGGTTGCTTCTCTCCTTGATCAGTTTCCACCCGTTGCTTCTTGTCCTGCCTCCAGGCGCTTTGGAGAATATCTACCAGAAGAGGTTGGTACTCAGCGGTTGTGCCAAGTATATACACGAGTAACAAGATAACCTTTATTGTCGTTTTTTTTTTAACTGTGGGCACAATGGCACACATCAAAAAATGAAATTTAGTTGCCCACTCTCAAAGTGAAACACATAACAAGCACGATTCTGAGCGTTCATGTTGATTAAACCGTAGTGTTCCTGGTTAGAATATGAAATTGTGAATTGGATTTCTTTTGAAGATAGTTGAGTTGGAACTGAACAGAGCTGGAAGGTTGTTGACAATGACTTTTTTGACCTGTGAGTACAGGGTAGGTCCTGCTTCTCAATAGTAATTGGGACGGGGAACTCTGCCGCTATGTGGTTGCAACATGTAAAGCCACATGGCTTGGTTGAGTTACCACATAGTATGTCAACTCCAGTTGGGTTGACAAGTGAATCGCGGTCATTAATCATGCTTGAATTGCTGCTAGCTTCCCCACCAACTTTGCTTGTCCGAAGCTGGCTGCGAAGGTCGCAAACACTGATTGTATGACTGCGGGACACGGAAATGTTGTTGCAGAACAAGAAGCTGTTGTAAGCCCTCCTTGTTCTGTACAGTCTTAACTTCAAACAGTCATGGAATGTGGATGTTAGGTGAGGGCTATCTATAAATGGGGCAGGTTTTAAGTAGTCCCTGAAAGTGAGTTATTTTTGGCAGATTCCTCTCACCACAACAGCACCAAGTAAACACAACCTGTATCTATAAGAGCTAGATTCTTTCCCTTGTAGTAATGTTTTTAAATTCACTTCTCCCTTATAAGAAAAAAAATCCTGCAATTTTCTAACAAAAGTTTATTTACATTTTAAAAAGGTGTACAAAAATATATAAGTTGTCTTCATTTCTGCCCAGTTGATCCAAAACCACCTGAGCCACGATCTGTTTCATCCAAAACCTGAAAAATAGAATTCATTTAATTGAATAACAGAAGAAGAAAAAAGTGCATACATTAAATCCCAATCCCTCACTAACCACAGTTGGGATTGCTGGCAGTCAATAAGTGACGCAGTCATAAAATATAACATTGTGTGACTCTGCCAGACTTGTAGCATGATGTGACTCTGACTTGCTACCCACTTCCCCACTGACTTTACGTGTTGGAAGCTGGTTATGATGGTCACAAATAATGACTGTGGGACTCCGCACCTGGCATAAATACGTGCCAGTTGCCAAATCACTTTGGGGACACTGCAAGGGCCGCAAGTTCAGTCAAGGATGTCATAAATCTCCTTTCTTAGGGTTGTTGCAAGTTCAAATAGTCACTGAATGAAAGTCTACCTCTATACTCACGCAAACATTTCTAAACATTTCAGTATATGACAGACATGGTTTCTTATAATCATCTATCATTAATCTATTTTCATAAGTAATTTGTTATATCACTACAAACTCAAATCAGCAGACCACTGACAAAAATATATATGAGATGTTGAAGTAAACATGAACCAAATAGATTTTGCCCTTATTCCTTCATTAAATAAATTCTTTAAATTCCTATATTTTATTAACAGTAAGATAACTGGGTTAGCAGTTATTTCTTTCCAATTTCTTACCTTGACTTCTTCAAGAACCGGATAGTAGATGCGCTCACAGATTAGTTGAGCAATCCTGTCACCCTTTTTAACTTAAAAAAAAAAAGGAATTTAAAAACTGATAGTTTTAAAAAAATATCATTCCCCAAGGGTGAATGGGACTATCTGTTATTATTTTTGTTATTGCAGCTAGTGCTGTTGTAGGATTTACTTTCATATAACAAATGTTTGGAGGTCAAAGAACAATCTGAAACTTTATAAAGGGGTTGATGAGCTGAAAAGTTTGGGGAGTTTTGATTAATGCTATATTTACAATGCAGTATACATGTTTCCATCAAGGGAGAATTGTCCTGAAGCTCCCTCAGTTGTTCTGCCAAAACTGATCAACACTCATGCTTTTTTTAAATCTTCCTCTTAACACCTTTTACATGTAAGCTCTAATTTAAAAGCAGGAAATTTAAGGAAAGTATCAGCTTAACATTTAAATCTCCAACTTTAATGTTTTTACCTTTAAATGGTTCCTTTCCAAAGTTAAACAATACAACACCAACATTTCCCCTGTAGTCTTCATCAATTACGCCAGCTGTTTTAAAAAAAAAGAATGCAACAATATAGACGTTTCACTGTATATTTGAGGAGTCGCGATCCAACAATTGGTTGGGGAAATGGAGACTTCGATTAATACACACAGAGGGGAAAAAGCCACTACCACCAGATCAACCAGGTTGGCTATGCTGGCAAGCCTCAAAACCAGGTTATGGTCCACTGTTCAAAAGATTATTTCATCATTTGCATAGGAATTTGTTAAGTGAAGACTACCTGTATTTGATATCTGTAATAGATAAGGATATATATTGCAAAGGATATATATATAGTGCTTTAAATTCACTCTAGCAATGGGCTTCTATGATATATCTAAAAGTATTAATCCAGTAGCAGTTTACTCTCTAGTTGTACCTAATTTCAATTAAAATCAATGAGGCGTGGGTGGGTGGCATGACTTAAAATCTACATTTAGTAGAACCTTAGTCTTATTAGCTCAGGAGCTCTGTAACAAATGAATCAATGTGAAGGTTCCTTAAAAAGTTTGAAAACATTTGTTTCCAAACATTGCTTAACTGAAATAAATATATGCAGTGGATAAATGTATCCAGCCAACTGCTAACATAGTTCTGCAGAGCTTAGTTCACGGTCATTTGCTTTAACAGATGTGCTTTAATTAACTTGATCATGAATTACAGAATGTGCAAAGAACATACGTTCCATCATTTAGCTTCACTAAAATTATAGGCTTATTTATATAATAAAGAAAACTCACATTTCATGTTTCAATACTTCTGTTCCCAGAACAGAGTACAGTACTTCCACCTTATTAAATATGCAAATTAATATAAGCAAACCATATTTTAGAGACCTGCCAATTTATTTCACTGAGATTTTTTTTTCCTAAATTAAGGATGAAATATGAATATTATGCTGTAACATCTAAATGCATATCCTGATATAATTGCATTCAGAAACAATTACTTACCACCAACATCAATGAAATGATTTACAGCTAATCCCGATCGAGGAGCTTAAATCAAAGAGAAGAAAAAGTGTTTAATTATGACTTGGACTCACTTTCTAATTTTCATAAATAAAGGTTTAGCAAACAACCTATAAGATTACAATTTTTCTGTGTAACAACTTACCGACGCGGCCATAGCAACCAATAGGAAGGGCAACCTGAATATCTGTTTTCACAATAGCTTTCCCTATAGCAGGGACCTCACAGTCATATGCACTATGAAAGCAAACATTAAAAAAAATATGATTAGCTGGGAAAAGGAAAAATCACTAAGTTCAAATTGCATGCAGATATCATTTCTTTTTATACACAGGTAGTCCTTGACAATTGAGCCCAAAACTTAGGCTGCTAAGCAAGACATTTGTTAAGTGAGCTTTGCCCCATTTTATGACCTTTCTTGCCACAATTGTTAAGTGAATCACTATAGTTAAGTTAGTAACATGTTTGTTAAGTGAATCTGGCTTCCCCATTGACTTTGCTTGCCAGAAGGTCAGAAAAAATGACATGATCTGGGGACAAGGAGTCAATGGAGATAAAATAGCAGACTGTGGCCACATGTCTCACTCAATGACCACACATTGATTCGCGACAGAGTTGCTGGTCCTGGTCCCAACTGAGGTTGTTAAGCGAGGACTATCTATATATCTATATACTATCCATATACTTGGCTTCAAATGAACGAATTGTTGTTTTATTGCACCAGTATAAGTCTTATTTCCTTGGTAGAGTACTAGAAGAAAAACGTGTTTTATGGGTTAGCACAGTAAATACTCTGAAATTTTGAGACAAACTGCTCAACAATATGGATTATTCAAATTCATACCCATTTCTCAAACAGCCTGCCATTAAGAAAAAAATGCAGCAATTACGAATTGTTTGATTAAAGACAGAGCAAAACAGATTAAAACCATAAATTTAAGGCAGATTTGAAAAATGATTGTCAGAAGTAAAGTCTTCATCCTGGTTCATCCAAGCCGGGGATAAATAAGCAACGTGGCGACTGCTTTGGGAAGAAGGTTACATTTATTGAAGAGGCAGAAAGATGGTTCTTGCAGGAAAGAGCAGAGGGAAGAAGGATGTGAGCACATGGGCAGTAGGTTTTTATACCCCCTCTAGCCTTTTGTTTGGAATAGTTTCCTGTTCCTGTGGCATGAACCTTGAGGCTATCTCTGAGTGTTTTTCTAGGCCTTGATATCTGTGGTTTAATCCTATTATCCTATCCTGCTTCCCTGGTGATGGGGCTAATGACTCTTGGGTGGGGTATGCAGATTTTCTCTTTGTCTTCTTGAGTTCTCTGGCTCCAACTTTCTGATGGTTTTACATCTGCATTTGTATAGGGCTGGCTCCTGCTTGGGGGGGGGGACAGAGACTTGGGGGCAAAGTTGGTTTCTGCTTTTTAAAATACTTTTGAGGAAATATATTTTTCTGCCCTTTTAATATTTCCTTCTCTGGGGAGCTGACTTCCCACATGATCAGATTACTGGGGAGGGGGGTATGGTATAAGAAGCCCACACTGATTTTTTTTTGTCCCAAATGTGTGTGTGTGTACGCGTTTTTCTCAAAAAAAGCAACTGGACTTTCTTGGTGTTTCCTTTGAAAACGTTTCGCTTCTCTTCCAAGAAGCTTCTTCTTCAGTTCAATTTCTTGGGGAAAACGAAAGAACTCTTACGAATTCCAGAGGGGTTTAGCAGAGAAGTTTATTGCGCAAGGTTCAGAGGCATATTAGAGATAGGCAATTCTGAACGAGGAGGGCGGGATTAGACTTCAGTTTTTATACTCCCCTCCTTTCAGGAACAAAGGGACTACACATGATAATACACTGTAATACATTAGGAGCGTTTCTCACAGGCATACAATGGAAGGTTTTGCTACATACAAAGTATCCATGTGCAAAGCGCATTTGGTTGCCACATATTACTGACACAGAATTTTCTCAGTGTATTTTTCCCAGTGATTATGCATTACCTCATTATTGTAGCAATTATGCAGACACATCATTATTGCAGTTATGCAGACAAATCATTATTCTAATAATTGTTCATTTTACTCCATTACTCTGAACAAACTTCTGGCCTGAGGAGCGAAAGGTTTTCAAAGAAAGCATCAAGAAAGTCTTTTGGAAAAAAAAAACCCAAAACAAAACCAAACCACCATTTGGGAGAAATCTCCACAGGATCCCAGGTTCTTTCTTACCTGTACAAATCGTAGCCCGCCGCGCGGGAAGAGCCTTTCGAAGGCGCAAAGGCATTTTCGGTCAGCTTGACGAAGCGCAGGCTCTGATGAGACGTGTCGCCGCTGGGAATATTTAGCCTGGCGGGGGAAGATTCGTAGGAGACCGGCATGGCGAAGGAGCGAAGAAAAGCGGCCAATTCTGAGGGAAAAAGAAGACAAGAGGCACTCCAGAAACCCGCGCGCTTATTTTTTGAAAAGGAACCGCCTGCGGCACCAACGGCCAATGGGCGCGCGAAGGACCCATAGCCAATGGGCGTGGAACGGAGGCGGCACCCATAGCCAATGGGCGCGCGGCAGAGGAGGGACCCATAGCTAATGGGCGTGGAGCGGAGGCGGGACCCATAGTCAATGGGCGCGGAGCGGAGGCGGGACCCACAGCCAATGGGCGCGCGGCGGAGGCGGGACCTGCCCTGTCCGTCAATATGTAGAAAAGTGAATTTTCCCCGCGCACGACTTTCTTAAAGAGACAGAGCGGAAGGTACTAGTTAAGCCGCTGGGAAGTTAATCTCGGATTTAGGCAGTCTTTTCTGCTTCTTCCACGAGAACGGTAAGATGCCCGTTTGAATGCTCGTGGTTTGTGGGGGGGGGGGGTTGAGGGGTGGGCTCGGCCTTCCTCAGCAAGACCGAGGCCTTGGCTGCCCATTTCGGTCAGGTAAAGAAAATGGCGACTGCTTTTCTGGCGGGAGGCAAAAGCGCACGAACGAGAGGTTCACTCGACTGAGCTCCCGTCGTGGCTCCCGTCGTTGCTTTCTCCTTTGAGGGCGAACCCAATCCCCCCCCCGTGTATAGGAATGGTTTTGCCCACCGGGGCTCGGCAAGGCCGAGAGGGCCCTACAGCTCCTTATGGAAGAGTCCACCTTCAGCAAAAGAGGGGGGGGGGAAATAAAAACATGGTCCTTACTGTGCGTGAGGGAGCGCAGGGGAGCCATGGCGCCTGAAGGCCTCTTCTGACCTCGTCCTCCTCGCTCCTTTCGCCTCAGCAGGTAACGACTGGCAGCGAGGGAAAAGGTTGCTGTGTCTCCTCGGCCGGGAGGAGGCTAAGATGGCAGCCTTCTCTCCCCCCCCAGGTCCTTTCACACAACGCCCCTGACCCAGGTTTAGGAAGGTGGCTTCACACGGCACGTCTAACCAGGGTTGGCTTCAGAGACCTCGGGGCGGGCCTGGCTGGGTTAGGCCGCTGTAACTGGACTTCCTCCCCTTGGCTTTCCCGGGCCGGGTGATTTTGCCTTGGGAGAAAGCGGAACACGGGCTCTTATTTAGGGGGCTGCTCAGGTGGGATTCCCTGAATGGGGATTAATGAGCCTAATTGGCTTCAGTTCCACGAATGGAGGACTGGGAACTAACCCTCCAGATCTGCCCAGAGACCTCAGGGATTGTATGTATGTATGTATTTACTCATTCATTTATCAGTCAAGCTTATATAGCTGCCCATCTTGGGAACTCTTGTTTATCTCTTTATCAGTCAAACTTATATAGCTGCCCATCTTGGGAACGCTTGTTTATCTCTTTATCAGTTTATATATACACTTGCTTATCAAGATTATATAGCCACCTATCTCACACATGTGACTGTGGGCAGCGTTCAATAAAACAACCCATTAAAAACAGTTAAATATAAACATAATGCATGGGGCACCATCTGTACACACGTTGCAACCTTGTGGGCTCCCTTTTTACAATTTCATTTATTAAACTGTCATGCGGCTCATCTCCCCTGCAAGACGACTCCGGTTAGATCCCTACTTCCATGGGATCCTCCAACCTGCTGCAAAAACCATGTTTTAATAGATTTCTGAAAGGTCTTCCTTCTTTTTCTGTTCAGAGGTTGCCAGACACAAGAGTAGGAGGCCATTCCAAGTTTGGAGAAGTCTGATTTTTTTTTTTTTAGTCAACCCCCCTAAATTAAAGAAAGCATCCATAACCAAGGCATCATTTGAATTTCCATTGTTTAAAAATGCAAACATTTCAGTTGGAGGCTTCTTTTATCTTGAACCTCTTCACTAGCCTTGGTGTTCTCAACCTGTGGGTCGCGACCCCTTTGGGTGTCGAACGACCCTTTCACAGGGGTCGCCTAAGACCATCGGAAAACACATATTTCCGATGGTCTTAGGAACCGAGACACCGCTCCTCTATCCGTCTGCAGGCGGGTACACCCACATGCAGATACGCCCACATACGACGAGTACCCGGCGTGATGACATCATCGCGCCAACCCCATCACATACACCCCGTACAAATACAGGTGTATGTGACAGGGTTGGTGCCATAATGTACTTATGCGGACCAGTTACACATGTGTTGAGAGCAGCTACTCTGTTAAAAGCAGCTACTGTGTTGAAAGCAGCAGTATTGGGGGTAAAACGACACTTCATGAATTATAATTACTGGGTAAACGTAAAATCATGTACTGTAAAATCATCAACTACTGCAAAAAAAAAATCTGTACCATGGGAACTTAATCTGGATGCTGATCTGTCTTTTTATATTCAGCTGTGGTTGATGTGAATACTGCCCCTTGTGATAGTAACAGGTATGTAAAAAAAACAACACAGAGAATGGTAAATCATAGGAAACTTTAATGAACTGTATTGACTGAACTATGCCATGTATCATCTTTTGTATTATTAAAGCTATTGTTATATATTATTTTCATTAGCAAACCATCCCATGACAATGGATCGTGTAAAGAAGAACGTTAAGAAAAGAAAATATCGTGAGGATTTTTTACAGTATGGTTTTACCTCAAAAATTACAGCAGGAATTGAGAAACCGCAATGTGTTATTTGTTCTGAAGTTCTATCAGCCGAATCTATGAAGCCGAACAAACTAAAACGGCATTTTGATAGCAAGCATCCGAGCTTTGCCGGCAAGGATGCCAACTATTTTAAAAGCAAAGCTGATGGACTCAAGAAAGCCAGACCTGACACTCGTGGCAAGTACCGCAAACAAAACGTAGCAGCCGTTGAAGCTTCATATTTGGTGGCACTCAGAATCGCCAGAGCTATGAAACCTCACACCATTGCTGAGGATTTGTTGCCAGCGGCCAAAGACATTGTTCGATTTATGATCGGAGACGAATTTGTTAGGAAATTGAGTGCAATTTCCTTATCTAAGGACACTGTCCGCAGAAGAATAGATGACATGTCTGCTGATATTCTTGATCAGGTAATCCAAGAAATTAAATCTGCTCCACTTCCAATATTTAGTATCCAGCTTGATGAATCTACAGACGTTGCAAACTGTTCACAGTTACTGGTTTACGTGAGGTATATTAATGATGGCGACTTTAAAGATGAGTTTCTTTTTTGCAAACCNATTTCTGAAAGAGCATAAGATCTCTTGGGAAAAGGTTTGTGGTGTTTGCACAGATGGTGCTCCAGCTATGCTAGGATGTCAGTCTGGATTTCAACGTTTGGTACTGAATGAGTCACCAAAAGTCATCGGAACTCACTGTATGATTCATCGGCAAATATTAGCAACAAAGACACTGCCACAAGAGTTACAAAAAGTAATGAAAAGCGTCATAAGTTCTGTCAATTTTGTAAAGGCGAGCAGTTTAAACAGTCGACTGTTTTCGCAACTGTGCAACGAGTTGGATGTGCCGAACAATGCTCTGCTATTTCACACTGAAGTGAGATGGTTGTCAAGAGGAAAAGTTTTAAAACGTGTTTTTGAGCTTCGTGATGAACTCAAAACGTTTTTTAATCAGAAAGCAAGACCGCAGTTCGAAGCACTTTTCAGCGATAGAAGTGAACTGCAGAAAATAGCTTACTTGGTTGACATCTTTGCCATCTTGAATGAGTTAAATTTATCACTGCAAGGACCAGATGCAACATGCCTTGATTTGTCTGAAAAGATCCGATCATTCCAAATGAAACTTCAGCTTTGGCAAAAAAAATTGGATGAAAATAAAACTTACATGTTGCCTACCTTATCTGCTTTCTTTGAGGAACATGACATTGAACCAGACAAAAGGATTACGATGATAATTTCTGTGAAAGAACACTTGCACATGCTTGAAGACGAAATTTCATCGTACTTTCCAAATCTACCTGACACCCCATTTGCACTTGCCAGAAACCCATTCACAGTCGCAGTTGAAAATGTTCCTGAGTCAGCACAAGAGGAGTTCATTGAACTTATTAACAGCGATGCAGCGAGAACTGATTTCTCTACAATGCCAGTTACAAAATTCTGGATCAAGTATTTGCAGTCATATCCTGTTCTGTCTGAGATTGTGTTGCGCCTCCTTCTTCCATTTCCAACAACATATCTTTGTGAAACAGGGTTTTCCAGCTTGTTGGTTATCAAGTCTAAATACAGAACTAGACTTGCTGTGGAAGATGATCTTCGTTGTGCTCTTGCAAAGACTGCCCCGAGAATTTCTGATCTGGTGAGAAAGAAGCAATCTCAACCTTCGCACTGACGTTGGCTTTTTACGCATACTGTCGCAAAATGTAGCAATGTAGTTTACTGTTGTTATATTAAGACTGTTACCCATGCTACACCATGCTTCAAGACAAAATTTTCATTTATTTGTAATTAGAAATAAATATTTCACAATATATAATTACATATTGTTTTTGTGATTAATCACTATGCTTTAATTATGTTCAATTTGTAACAATGAAAATACATCCTGCATATCAGATATTTATATTACGATTCATAACAGTAGCAAAATTAACAGTTATGAAGTAGCAACGAAAATAATTTTATGGTTGGGGGTCACCACAACATGAGGAACTGTATTAAAGGGTCGCGGCATTAGGAAGGTTGAGAACCACTGATTTAGATGAAATCTAACTATTCTAAGATGATTGTGTATCAAATGTTATATATGGCTGGTAATATTTATCACTTGAATTATGACAAACCACATATTTTTGTTGCCAGTTTATGATGCTTTGGACAATAGGAATTTTAGTGCACAAAAATTTGGGACAAATGTGTTAGTTTTTCTAATGTTCAATGTAGCCTGTGTTGCAACAAATTTAATAAAGATGCCTCTTTGAATTTTTTTTCAGATGGAAACAAAAAAAAAATCAATAAATCAAAGTATGCAATGGGGATAAACCTTTGATTCATTTTTATTTGTTAACAAATTAATATACAAATTGAAATATTCCTACCAGTCAGAAAAAGATTAAAATTTATTAAAAAACATATCTTAAGTTGTGCCAAGCCACTGTGCTAGTTTACTTCCATTTATAATTCTAAAGAAATCAATGTCACTATGAAATCTTTAAAAATTCAGGTTAGTACACATATTTTTGCTTTCAAAGTTTTCTTGAGTGTTGATTGAATATGATTTCAGCTTATCTTGAGGTGATCATTTGAAACTACATGTTACACATTATAAATTAGGACATTTTGCTCCCCCGTTACACTGACAGGAATAGAAAAAAATATTACAACCAGATTTATTTATGGAACACAAACATTGAAGTTATGTAGGCTGGTATAGCATTGAGCAGAAAATCATACATTTTGGATTCTTTGGGGGAGAATGGAACTTTCTGCATAACTAGAATTGTACGTTATTCTGGAGCACAGGACTGCAGTAATCAAACCTAATGTATTCATAATAGGAGTGGAAGTTGGTGTATATTCTGACATTTGTGATGAAAGCTAGATTTTTAAAGAGAGACTGGAAATGTGGAATGCAGGTTTTTTTTCAAGGTATTCTCTTCCATTTCACCTTGCCCTGTCAATCCTGGTTTTCCGTTTCTTCTTCCCTTTTTGTGGATATGATTCATTTTTTACTCTGTGATACTGATAGCAAAATAATCTGTTGGAAGTCTGTTTGTTACATTAAGTCCATTGTTATGTCCAGAATGCATGTAATGGACTCCAGGGGGGGAGTTTGTTATGAGTAAAACGTTAGTACATTTTTGTGGTTGCCTCGAATGAGCAACACCGGAGGTAGATTCTTTGAGAGGATTTCTAACCAAGCCATGTAGAGGTAATCTGATATAATTCCTTTTCTTGCCACTGGTAGGCTCCTGTTGAATTGAAGAGGAGGAAGTATTAGTAAGACTCAGTGCTAGTATATTAATTGTCTCCTAGACTAGGGTTACCAGATGGAAGCAATTCATACTGTAGATGACTGTTCTTCAATTTACAATCTTGCCTCAAACTCTCAGTAGGGACAACAAATTAAAAAATGTGTAACTTACAGAATAATTAGATTAGCAGCTCGAGAGTGCTCCTGTAAGAGTTCATTCAAACGGACCTGACGGTAACTCTGTTTAAAATCAAAAGTTCATTACATTAGAAATATTTTTTTTCTATCATCCTTAAAAGTTTAAATATGTTCCAGAAAGGCTTCTTTATGAGAAACTTTGAAATAAGTTCATGCCGTACATTTCTGCCTATCTTTGGATAAATCTGTTGACTGAAATATGACTTTTGCACATTAAAGTACGTAATTTGCAAATTGGAAGCAAGATACTTAGCCTGGTTTGTTGGATAGTTATTTTCTGTTATTAAATCAATATGAATCCATATTTATCTTGCCTCATGAAATACTCATGGCTACAGAATATAATAACTATGCATGTAAATTCATTTAAAGAAATTAAGAGTTGGAAGGATTTTAAAATGTACGATTAGTCTTGTGCTCAGATCAGTGATCCTACTGAATCCTACTTTGATCCTCCTCTGGCAACTGTCCCAGACAATGCTATCCTTAATGTTTAAAGAATATACAATGAAGCTTATGTGTCATATGTACTGGTCCCATTCAGCTAACATACTGTATATCCCAAATTAACATTCACTGTTGGAGTTAGAGCAGTGCACAGAACAGGTTCAGTGTTATGTTGTCTGCAACTGCTTTGATGTGGGATGACAGAAATTGTTGCAGAATTCAGTACTAGATTATATATCTCTTATGTTAGATGTTCTCCCCATCCATTCTCCTGAAAATTGAGTCCTACTTGGTGAGACTCTTCAGGTGCTGGCCTAGAAACCAGGAGACTTGCGTTCGAATGAGGAACAAGGACGACAGAAATTATTGTTGCTTAGTGGTTCCGACCTAAGGACCACATTGCTTAGTGGTTGGAAATTCCGGTCCCAGTTAGGGCTGTTAAATGAGGACTACAGATTTTGGAAAGCATAGGCCAGTGGTGGCGAACCTATGGCATGCGTGCCAGAGGGGGAACTCGGAGCCCTCTCTGTGGGCATGCGCGCCTCGGTCTTTGGCTAAGTTTTTGCAGGAAAAAGCCATATCTCAACCCTCTTCCTAGCCAAAACAAGCCTGACACCAGAAACAGACTTAACAGATGACCTGAGTGCTGCATATGTTGCTCTCAAACTTACAAAGTATAAGCCAAGGCTAGACAAATTAGCAGCATGCATACAACAGCAAAAAAATCACATGAATTGTTCAAAGGCATGCCAAATGCAAACTTTTACCTTTCAGTAAAAAGTTGTTTGTGTCATTGAAAGCTTTGTCATTGTGTTTTTCTTTTAAGACAAAAAGATGTTAATGTATGAGTTGCTTTTTCTAAACTAAAACCTCAGTATTCAGTTTAAATTGCCGTGTTGGCACTTTGCGATAAATAAGTGGGTTTTGGGTTGCAGTTTGGGCACTCGGTCTCTAAAAGGTTCGCCATCACTGGCATAGGCTATTGGGCAATTAAAGAAACATTGCTTTCTCATCTAAGTTAGTGTTTTTTCAACCTTGGCAGCTTAAAGATGGGTGAAATTCACCTCCCAGAATGCTGGCTGGGGTAATTTTGGGAGTTGAAATCTACCCATTTAAGCTGCCAGAATTGAGAAAACAGTGCTCTGAAGCAAAGTTTCTGCCAACTCAAAAGCTCTCTCCAAGTGAAGGACTGTCTTCTGTTAATAAAATGAATAATCTCGATGAAAGTTATTGCTTTAAAATGATTATGAGTAAAATTTGGGTAGAAAGAGCATGCAATATATATCACGGACAATATGGGTTTTTTTTCCCCCTGGTAATAATCGATATGCTCTGCTTTCTCTTTCAAATAGCCTCTTTATAGTGTCAAAGGTAACTAAAGGTATGGCTGGTTACCTTTTCCTTGAATGCTTCCAGTTCTGCATCAGTGATTTTCCACGGTGCCTCTCTCTTTAATTTCTCAGCGGTTGTTAAATCTTTGCAGCTTTCATGAAGGCGATAGGGTTCAATCATCTCTTCAAAGAATTTCCAGCTGGAACAGAAATTATAAAGAGACTTCACAGCAGGGCTCTAACTCTTCATTTTACAGATATTCTTAAGATTGGACAAGATCTTGGCTGTAGAACGATAGCTGAATTCAGTAAAAATCTTTAAACCGTATCAGGTTTTAAGCGTGGGCATTGCCATCGCAGTAGAGTAAGTTTGTCAGGTGTATGTTGTCACTGCTGTCAATTTATATCCCATATTGAATTGATAAAAGTTATACATAATATTTCATTTCACAATACTACTGAATATATTCATAGATGTGTACATGAGAAACAAGCCTTTTTTGGGGGGAAAAATTCTGCTTGCATTATACCCTAATATTAGCTTTATTTTTATTACTGTTGATTAGAAGATTAAAACTGAGCTGGAAGTAAATGCCATTGAAGTTAAGTGAAATTATTTTATATAAAAACAAGGATGCCACACTATGTCTTTTCTTTGTGGTTACAGACTTAACATAGGTATCTCTGGAAATTAGCATGTTGAAATAAATTGGCTACATCTAGACAACTAATACCAAGCTCTTACAGACTTTCTAAATAATGGTGTTCTGGTAAAGTGCACTTTCATAGCATATTTAAGCCCCTGAAAAGTCTCAGCAGTATAGCCAGGCTGGGTTCAAATATGTACTTACCCTTGCATTTGGGATAATAAACGACAATTCCAGAATTTATTTAATATTCATTAAACAAATTATAGCCTTTATAGCCACATGATTAGCCACAATTCAAGACAGAATAAAATATCTTTCAATTCATCCACCACACACAACACTATTTTTTTTTGTGTATGTGTGTATACAAATGAAATAAAATAAATTATAGTTATTTATTTAGTTAAGCATATTATCCTTTAAAAGAAAGTGGATGTCAATGGCTGCCTGATCTCCTTTTTCAAAAAGGCCCAGCAATTTCAATAATACTTTAAAAATCCATTTTTCTTTGGCAGTTTGCTACCTTCTCTGCAGTAATAGAATGAACACCCATGATTTTGCTTGATCTTTTTTCCCCCCCTAAATGGAAAAATAAGACTTAACCAGCAGCAAGAGCAGGTTTTTACATATTCCATTTTTAGGTGTTCCCTTTAAAACAACTGCACTTCTTGGAAAATTGTGACGCTTACCTCTCTTTATTGGGTTTCATGTTGATGTCTCCAATTATATTAATGTCGGCAAATTTTATTCTAAACTTACTTAACAGCGAAGCCATCCTGAAACATTAAAAAAGGGAAGCCATTTTAATTGCAAAATTCAGAAAGCTTGATAGTAAAACATAAGGGATTTACTTCCAATCCTATTCAGCGTGTAAGAGTTAAAGTCAGCATGCATGGGATACAATAATTTGATAGGTAATCCTTTGCATTGGATTGAAAAATGCAATTTGTTTACACTGAAGTAGGTAAGTGTGCTAAGATGGCAGTCTGATGTATAAAAGACCAAGACCAGGTCACATTCTGTCTGCCTACCTACCTAAAAGAGAATCCAAAATACCTTTTAGCAGGGCATGGAGCTGAAACATGAACGAAAAACCACGTAACAGTAAAACTTTCTAAGAAGTAATGCTGCAACAAAATAAGCTATAAAAAATTTACTTCTAGATTAAATTAGATAACCTGTATTGTCATTTTTTCCTGTGGGTACAATGGCACACATTAAAAAAGAAAGAAATTTAGTTGCTTCCTCTCAAAGTGTATACATACGTAATACACACTTAAAACACTATATACAACATGTATAGACCTACACCCTTACAATATAAGTAACATATAAATATTAATCACTGTCCATCTTGAAGGAGGAAGGAGGAAGCTTTATAGAGTTCACAAGGTTAATACTGTAATTCTACTACTGGTTGCACAGTACTTTAGATATCTCAAACCGCTTTAGATACATCATTTTCTTCGTTTCTTCCTATACGCAAATAATTTTGGGAATAGGATGGAATTTAGCCTGGAATCTCAGGAGGAAGGAGCTGCGTTCTGGAGAAGCAAGAGGCAACTCTGTTCAGATAGTTTGTGTGAGAGAAAGAGGGTGAAGACAGCTCCTCAATAATTCCCAGAGTATAACCGCCTTATGGGGGTGGTTAGCATTTTTTTAGTTTATCAAAATTCTGTGAGATGAGGAACAATAAAAGAAAACCATAATGCTTGGAAGAATCACAAAATGACTTGCTTTTTGGAGGCTGACAAGGATGCAGTAAAAGTAAATTCTCAGGGTAAGGTTATGGATTTTCTTACATCAACTTTTCTTCTTCAAGACGAGTAACTTTTCCGCCAGTAAAGATCCTTAGTTTGCAATCCTTCCACTTTTTCCGGAGTGTCAGAATGTAGGGAATTAGGAGGATTAGCCCTAGGTGAAAAAAAATAGATCATATTATGAATGCTCCAGTTGTGAATGCTCCAATACTGGAAGTTTTTAAGAAGAGATTGGACAACCAATTGTCTGAAATGGTATAGGGTTTCCTGCCTGAGCAGGGGGTTGGACTAGAAGACCTCCAAGGTCCCTTCCAACTCCTATTCTATTCTATTCCATTCCATTCCACTCCATTCTATTCCATTCCATTCCATTCTATTCTCCTTCACACCAATGTAGCAAGTCAGAACGCTGTATAAGTAAGATAAATGTACTTTTTCACTAATATTGAAAGTGGAAGGTCGTTGACTTTAAAAAGGGTTTTTTTAAAATTACATTTTTGGTTACTTGTTTTGCAAATCTTATACAGGGTTATAGTCGTGATCCTGGTACCTAAGGTGGTGGTGATGGTGGTCTTTTTGGGGGCTTACCTCCATCATCAAACAGCCACCACACGTCGATGGAGCCCTTCCCTTGCTTTTTTTTAAACTGAAGACTAGCTTCAAGCAGCCGTTGATTGAATTCCCCAACGTGGACTGAAGAGATTGTGCTAATGCTGCAGCCTGAAACGAGAGAGACGAGCTCATAGTTAGCTTTAATAATCGTTTTATACATTTTTGTTTTGGTTAGGCAAATGTTAAAAGCAAATGCTTGGGTTTTAAAATATCACTTAAAAGACGATGAGAACCAATAATCAAAAGTCTGGAATCCCTGAACATGTAATACATTGCAAACACACAGCATTTGGTAACTCGCCACCGTTGGTATTTTGTTCTGTTTGGGAGTTACCTCTTGATTTGGGTGCTAGGACTTGAAAAAAGGGGTGGAGAAAATAGTAGATCTTTCCTAAAAAGTTCTGTGCTCAAAGACTGCTCCATAATTGGAGGAACTGTTGAGAAACTATGCCTACTACCGTGTGGAGAACATTAGCAAGAGACATTTCAGCAGTTAGCAAATGGGCCACTAGATTCACCCTGCAAAAGAATTTTCTGCACTATGAAAAGATAATATGGCGTTTCTTTTTTGATTATAGCAATTATTTCCCAGTTTGCTTCTCTATGAGAACATCACTCTGTCCATGTGGCTAGCATAAAATTTGCAAATCTGTATTTTTTGCTGAACTATTTCCTCTTTTTTTGATCATCTGTGACAGTTTAGGTTTCCATAAATCTGCTTTTTAAGTTGCTTCTAGAATATTGTCTATTTTGTTACAATAGACTAATGTGACTTTGCATGGCAGTCTGTTCTTGAAGTAGCTTTTCAGGAAAAAAAAAAGCTTATAGGCAGGTCTTATTCACACACTATTTTTAAGCTTATACCTTTTTTGGGCATCGTCTTTGAAAAGTTGAGCTTGGTGGTTCTTCTAAAGAATCTACGGATACCATAATTTTGTTCTTCAAATTCATTATCTTTAAGAGTTGCTTCTAGGGCTTGTCTCTCCTGCTCCATCTTCTTCAGTTCCTCTGTTAACCAAAAGAAAGATTGGTGGGGTGACTAGGAATTGTCCAAGAAAAACACGGATAGAATTCAATTATGGTTCTATCTCTGAACCTGACATATCAGCTTTTCCATTTCCTTTTTACCTGTCAATGATTGCCTCCTGTCAGATACCCTTAAATGAAGATGCTGCTTCAGCATTTTTTGTTCTATAATAAATTCCTGCCTCAGGACATCCATAAATGCATTTTTTTACTTTGAAAACATGCATGCATCAGGCGTAAACATTTGATTTCTGCATTTTGTTTCATGGTATTTTGGAAACATTTTAGCGGAAATATCAATTGTGTGGAAACACACAAAAAAGACAGCAGATGGCAGCAGAGGGTTACAATTTTTTATGACAGCTATGATCACACATTGATTTTAAGCAAAAACAAAATCATAAATACAGACTTAGTGGCCTGGTCTTTACATGCCATTAAGAATAGGCTTGAGTTTACTTAATTATACTTTAACTGAACATCTGGATTTGCCTTAGGTTCATTTTATTTTATTTTATTTGGTAATAAACCCCAACTGGAAGCTAGCTTGAAAGCAGCTTATGAAGTCTGGGTTCCTATAGCTAAGGTATTAAAAAATATTTGAAGTAGAAATCATGGGTTATTCTTAGTTCTTGCTAAAAGTCAAAAAAAATTCTATCTAAAATATTTTAAAGCAAGAACTGCATAGAAAAATGATCTGTTCCATAGGTGAAATGGCATTTTGCTGTTTTTTTTTCCCGTTTAGTTCCTGATAATGTTTTTTTTTTTTAAATCAACTCTGCACAAAGGACAGCATAGCGATGGGGATCTGATTGTCAAATAATGCATTGCACGGAAGATATAATAATATTCCTTAGTTAGGAAGCACGGTCTACCATGCTTTGTCGTTTCCCAATTAACCTGCTACCGTTGGCTTTATTGTGGGGTGCTCTTGAAGGCGACTTTAGAATCTATAGTTTTTCAAACTTGGCGATGTTAAGATGTGTGGACTCCCCAGCCAACATATCTAAAGGTAGAGGGATTCAAGATATAAAGTGCTATATAGGATTATGACCAGCACATGGGAGGGAGCCAGAAAGCCAACTGGAAAATTCAGCAACTCACACAATACAGGTGGCATTCTGCTGTAAGAGTTTTCACCCGTTAGCAGAATTGCATCCTTTACCAACCGTAGTATAGCTGTTTTTTTCAAACTTGGCCACATTTCAGATGTGTGGACCTCAACTCCCAGAATTCCCTTGCCACTCCTTTCCAGGAAAAAACTTCTCCGTGTTTAGAAATCGGTAGAATTATTAGGGGAACGTTTTTGTTCCCAGAAAGCATCACTTTCTTATAGGAATGGCTGGAAATTTTCCTAAGTCTTCGACCTACCTTGAACCTGGAGGACTTGCGATACATCAAACCCTTGGCTTATTCGAACAATTATCACACCAAATTCAAAGTCGAACGCATCGCTGGAATAAAGTTTACATTAAAAATTAAAAGAAAAAAACATTGAATTACCTGCATTGCAATAGTAACAGTTACAGCAAAGCTCATTGTGCACGATAAGTGAAAATAATTGGATTTCTATAATGAGACTTCCTTACTAGATCAAGTCTGCGTCTCTTGGATCACTTACAACACTGAATAACATTCGCCTCTCCCTTTTCATTGCCTGACTCCTGTCCAGTGGCAACTTTCTAATTTGCTCCATATTTGCCTCTGGCCAGGCTTCATTTAAATACGGTATCTCAGAGTTCTTTCGTTCCCAGAGGTTCTTGAATTTGAGCCACGACTGCTAAGTAAATTTTAACTTGAATCAAACTTATAATATGGCCTTAAAAATAATGTAGGCATATACTATGCATATGTCTACTTCAAAAATGTTTGCAAGGAAGCCTGAAAAAAAAACCCTGCTGCTTTAATGACTAGCAGCTAGGTTTTGTCTTTTCAAGAAATCTGAAATATTGCTAAATCGTTTTCAAACTGTGCAAGCCTCTAGAACATACTGTAGTCTTTTCTTGCATACAAGCATTATCTTTATTTTGTTTCGTGAGCACAAGAAATAATAGCAGCTGTTTTTGTCTTGCCATGTCTGGAATCTTGAATTGCAGGTTCAAAAATGATTTTATAAATCAGGCTTTTTTTTAAAAAAAGTATAAAATAAAATGAGAAGTTGTTTAGAGATGCTTCTAGCTCCAGCAATATAACATACTTCCAAATCCAAACTTACTGTATGGCACCTGTGTAATTTTCAACTTGTGTTGCAGTGGCATGTCTCCAATCTTTTTTAAATCCAAGCACCAAAGTATTAGGTCTCATTCTTCCCAAACCAGAGGCCTGCCAGGTATAAAATACAGTGTTTAAAGCAAGGCATGTGCAAGATTTATCTAAAATTAGAAGTAATGCCAAAATATAATGGGAATACGGTAACGTTCTGGAGGGATTTAAGATTAAAATCTATCTGGCGGGTGTCCTTCATGCTTGTACCCAAGCAGCACATATGAAGATTAGTTCTAAATCATCTCAGCTACTGTATAAAATGATTTTTAAACTGCAGAAATGTAATTGACTATAGCAGCATCCATTTGCATTTCTTTGGATTCAAAAATCAAAGTTTGAAAGCTAAAGAGCAACAGATTTTTCAGACTACCGGTTGTGTGATTGCTTTTAACACAATCTGTGCCAGCATTTGCAGAGCCTTTACAGAAAGCAAGGATGATGTTTATATGTTTAAAGAGCTATAACATTGGGCCAAGAAATTAAAAGACGCTTGCTCCTGGGGAGGAAAGCTATGGCAAATCTAGACAGCATACTAAAAAGCAGAGACATCACCCTGCCAACAAAAGTACGTATAGTCAAGGCCATGGTTTTCCCAGTTGCAATGCATGGCTGTGAAAGTTGGACCATAAGAAAGGCTGAGCGACAAAGAATGGAGGCCTTTGAACTATGGTGGTGGAGAAGACTCCTGCGAGTCCCTTAGACTGCAAGGCGTTCAAACCAGTCAGTCCTAGAAGAGATTGACCCTGACTGCTCTTTAGAAGGCCAGATCCTGAAGTTGAAACTCAAGTACTTTGGCCACCTAATGAGAAGGAAGGACTCACTGGAGAAGAGCCTGATGCTGGGAAAGATGGAGGGCAAGAGAAGGGGACGACAGAGAATGAGGTAGCTGGATGGAGTCACTGAAGCAGTAGGCCTGAGCTTAAATGGACTCCAGAAGATGGTAGAGGACAGGAAGGCCTGGAGGAACATTGTCCATGGGGTCGCGATGGGTTGGACATGACTTCGCAACTAACAACAGCAACAACAAAACATTGAGCAAGTGCTATATAATACCTTTCATAGGACAGCTACTACATTCAAGTCTGTCTCCTTTGACAGTAAACCTTTTTGAATACAGTTGGAAATTATTATTTTTTTTAGAACAAGCACGTCTTCCACTTCAGTACTTTAGATTTGTCCTCCCCCTGAAAATCGTGAGTGCTTTCAGCCTAGTCATTTTTTAAAAAAAATGAAAATATTCTCTTGTTTCAGAAGCATTAGTGTGCTCGCTCATTATATCTGATGGTGTAGCAATCAAATTAATACTCTGATCATAAACTCATTGTTTAATTTCACAGCAATTAGAACATCTGGTTGCTTGTATGAGAACGAGCTTCTTTTCCCCTGTGTACTCCAGTGTTAGAAGATGAAGTGTTAATTTCACTATATTAAATCTATTTTGTGATCCAATATAAAATACTGGTAGTATTACATAAGTGTAGGTAATTGCTTGGGTAGTCTGAGACATTTAAGTTCCTGTAAAGCATCCCTATTCAATAGAGGCCCTTGATCATTGAATATGGCCATGCTTCCCAACCTTGGAAGTTTGAAGATGGTAGACATCAACTTCCAGAATTCCCATGCTGGCTGTGGAATTCCAGAAGTAAAAAATCTACACATCTTCAAGCCATGATAGCTGGGGAATTCTGGGAGTTGAAACCCACCCATCTTCAAGCCACCAAGGTGAGAAACATTAAAATATGGAATTGATTCATTTCCCCCCTATAAATCCATGGCCTCAAAATAGAGTTATTCCCGAAATAAGCTAAAATACAAAGAGCAGTGCCCCCAGGATACCCTCTGCAGCTCCATGATGCTTTCCAAAAGGTAAACCTTCCTGTATAAACCAACATTCTTGGCTAGCGGAGGCTGCTTTGAAGCCACACTTCAAGCAGCTCACCTGAAGAAGACTTCTGACTCCATCTCTAAAGCTGTCGGCCGCCACCGCCGCATAAAAAGCTTTCCTTTTATTCTTCGCCAGCCAGGCCTGCTTCGTTGTCGTGCCACTGTTCATCTCTGTAACGCACAGCTTGCGTGGGCCCTGTGTGACACGATCATACATTAGAGAGGAGGAGTCTGCATTATGCCCTACACAATAGCCTGATTTCGAGGGAGGGACTGAATCGGCTCGGTGAGGGGCTGCGACGTGCGTCAAAGGAAAAAAATAGATTCCCACAAAAGATTTTTTTGGGGGGGGGGGTGTTTTGTTTTTTTTTTGTTGTTGCAGAGATTTCCATTTTTTGCAGGTCCAAATCGTTCGCTTTCCGTTCAGTCAGTGTTGAGCCAGCCCTTAAGTTTCATGACGACGATAGAAAAAGACCCATTTCAAAAAATTCAGCTTGGGGAGAGTTTTAATTTAACGGGGAAAGCATGAAGGATTAACAGAGAAACTCGATGGTAGGTGGGCGCCAAGTATTCACAGTTATTTTCTTTAAAAAAAATAATAATGTTCGTACTTCATAGTATCTATGCGCAAAAGCCTCCCTAACCTGGGGTGTTTTGCATAAAAGAATTCATCAGCAGATGGGGGGGGGACCAAAGAAAGGGCATTCTCAGGAATTACATCTAAATTGTGGAGGGTATTTTTTCCCCTCCTGCAGGAGACAATTTGCTATTCCCTTCAGTGTTAACTGGCTACAGATTTCACCTGATGACATAGACCAGTGGTTCTCAACCTTTTTAATGCCGTGACCCCAACCAGTCGTAAGTCGAGGACTAAACCGGTCGTAAGTCGAGGACTAAACCGGTCGTAAGTTGAGGACTAAACCGGTCATAAGTCGAGGACTACCCAACCGGTTGTAAGTCGAGGACTTTCCCTGCCCGGGAGCGCCGCGCATGCGTGGTTCCGCCCCCTGCGCCGGCCGAGGCGTAGCTGGCAAGCGGCAGAGATGGAGCAGGCCGACCACCAGCTGGCCCAGCTCAAGGGAGGTAAGGCACCCGCCGGAAAAGGGGGAAAAAATGGCAGACAAAAAAAATGGCGGACAAAAAAAATGGCGGACAGCCTTGCTTGGCGACCCCCATGAAATGGTCGATCTACCCCAAATGGGGTCCCGACCCACAGGTTGAGAACCACTGACATAGACTAATTCCCCACCCCCCTGTTTTTTTTTTCCTGCTTTGCAATTGTTTTGTTTCAAATTAGATTAGCTTTGGAACTTCTTGGAGAGTTTTATTATTGCTGGCTGCCCTAAATGTTTTCTCAACATTTAGAAGCGAAGAGGATATGTTTTATATAAACAAACATATGCCGACAAATCCCAGTTTTGACACAGGGGCTGTTTACAAGTCTGTTGGCCATGTAGTGGCAGTGCTTTCCAGTCTAGCTATGGAAAATGTGAATTTGAATTCCCATTATGCAAAGGCTTCCTTTGTCGTTTTTTTTTTTTTTTAATTAAACCTGCAAGTCGGTCTTGAAAGGGCTAAGATATCCTGAAAATAATGGGCTTATTCAGGACTGAAGCTTCATACAGGTAATTCTAGACCTAGTACCACAATTTCTGTAAGTAAGTAAGAGTAAGCAAGTTAAGTAAGACATTTGTTAAGTGAGCGTTGCCCCTTTTTACAACTTTTCTTCCCAGAATTAAGTGAATCATTGCAGTTAAAGTTAGTAATATAGTTAAGTGAATTTGCCTTCCCCATTGACTTTGTCAAAAAGTCATAAAAGAGGAATCACATCACCCGGGACACGGCAACCGTCATAAACACGAACCAGTTGCCAAGCGTCTGAATTTTGATCACGTGCCCATGGGGACGCTGCAACGGCGGTAAGTCACTTTTTTCAGTGCCGCTGTCATTTTGAACGGTCACTAAATGAACTGTTGTAAGTCGAGAAAGGCCTCCATCAGCATCAGTTGAACCACTGAACTCGTCTGTAGAGGATCTGAATGCTGAGGTTTTGGCTGCTAGTCCTGGCCCTAAATTAGGGATATTGGAATAAGGCAGTGGTGCCAAACCTATGGCACGGGTGCCAGAGGCGGCACTCAGAGCCCTCTCTGTGGGCACCCGCACCGTCGCCCCAGTCCTAGGCCTTTAGCTGGGTTTTATAAAACCTTTTTGCTTTAGGCTTCTGCCGCCGTGTGCAAAAAAAAAAAAAGAAGGTTCAATCAGTCAATTTCAACTTCTCGCGGGGAAAAAAAAATCTTGCAAAGTTGGAATTGATTGATTGAACTTTTTAGTCCCACCCAGTCTGCCGTTACCACCGCAGCCACGCCCACCCAATGGGCCACACCCACCCGGCACTCAGCGATGCATAAGTGGGTTTTGGGTTGCAGTTTAGGCACTCAGTCTCTAAAAGGTTCGCCATCACTGGAATAAGGCACCCAAGCTGAAAGAGTATCGTTTTGAATTGGTATTATTGTCTGCATCCTGTAGCTTGGCTGCATTTTTCCAAGGCTTAGAATAAACAGCACTCTCTACAGGAATTAAAAAATAAATAAGAACAGCTACTTAACCATAGTTTTTCCCAATGGCTACCAAAATTTAGATTCGTGCATCAGCTGAATATAAACTAAACAAAGGATTAATAGATATAAGCAAGAATCATTCAGAATCTTAATGGGAGTCGTATCGATAGCCTACTCCGATTTTATCATTCTTTTATTTTCCCAGTTAAACTGCTCACAGTACTTCATTATGCCAATTTTTATTAGTCAATAAAGCTAAATGCTGTTGAAGATTTTAGAGAAGGAATTTAAAATACCTAAACCAACACAGCATGTTATATAAAATATTTGCAGACATATAAAACTAGAAACCAATAAGTAAAAAAAAAAAGGAAACCTTTCTGCCCAAAGCTTTTATAGACTGGAATAAAATACCCACTGGAATAAGGAGTAAAACTTAGCATTATAAATTAATGGGGCAAAAACAAAAACCCTTTATTGGATTGTGCTGTTTTTATTATTTGGAAGAGTCACTTATAAAAATAAGTTTATATAAGTAGTCTTCGACTTTGCTAAGCAAGACATTGTTAAGTGTTAAGGGACAGAAGGTCACAAAAGGGGAATTGCTTGACCCCAGGATGCTGCAAGCATCATAAATAATGCCAATTGGCAAGTTTCCAAATTTTGATCATGTGACTGTGGGGATCTTGCAATGGTCATAAGTGTGAAAAATGGTTATAACTCACTTTTTTCAGTGCCACTGTAACTTCAGTTACTAAACAAATAGAAATAGCAACAGTACTTAAGACTTATATACCGCTTCACTTTGCTTTACAGCCCTCTCTAAGTGAGTTACAGAGTCCGCATTTTGCCCCCCAACAATCTGGGTCCTCATTTTACTGACCTTGGAAGGCTGAGTCAACCTTGAGCTGGTCAGGATCGAACTGCTGGCAGTTGGCAGAGTTATGGAAGGAAGGAAGGAAGGAAGGAAGGAAGGAAGGAAGGAAGGAAGGAAGGGAGAGAGGGAGGGAGGGAGAGAGGGAGGGAGGGAGGGAGGAAAGGAAGGAAGGAAGGGCAATAGCAATAGCACTTAGATTTATATACCGCTTCACTGCTTTACAGCCTCTCTAAGCGGTTTTACAGAGTCAGCCTCTTGCCCCCAACAATCTGGGTCCTCATTTAATTGACCTTGGAAGGGATGGAAGGCTGAGTCAACCTTGAGCCAGTCAGGATCAAACTTTCTACCAAAGAAGATCTTTCTGTGACTTAGCTTTCTGTGTAGAAAACCTGCAGTTTCCAGTTGTGAACCAGGTACACATATGTATGGGCCAAACTTACCATGAACACTTCACAGCAGATGCAAAGACCGTTGTCCTTCGTGAATGAATGAGTGATGTCTAACAAAGCCGGCCTTGTCATAGGTCCTCCTGTTAAAACGATGCATTGAGGCCTGCAAAAGATGGAAGGAGATGCATTACAGCTGAAGGTGCATTTACATCTGATAATCGTTGAACCCCTTTCTGCAACAACCTACCGGAAGTTCTTCACGTGATCGTCCACTGTAGTTAGTTCCAATGCGCTCTCAACGGCATTAATGTAGTAAAGTGCCTGGGCAGATGATCCCCAATTGACTTCTGTGGTCCAAGCAAAAAGAAATCACGTCGCTTTTAGCTTCTATATTCAACAAAAGTCATTTTACAGGTACCCTGTTTTGGATCCATCGTAACAAGAAGTAGCACTTGATTTTTATAGGTGGAATGCTATATGCGAACTACGATCTTATGCCTGGCTAGTGGAAGTCAGCCCTACTCAATTTTTAAATTTACCCCGACAATATCTGCAGACTCTTTCAAAGTGGTCACCCGGGTTTTCCCGGTTGCATTCCTGCCTTTTTTTCAATCTTTCAAGGTAGGCGAGATCAAGACATTGCTGAGATTCCAAGAAAATGACTTTATTGTTGTAGGGCAGTGGTTCTCAACCTTTTTAATGCCGCAACCCCAACCGGTCGTAAGTCAAGGACTAAACCGGTCGTAAGTCGAGGACTAAACTGGTCGTAAGTCGAGGACTACCCAACCGGTCGTAAGTCGAGGACTTTCCCTGCCCGGGAGCGCTGCGCATGTGTGGTTCCGCCCCCTGCGCCGGCCAAGGCGTAGCTGGCAAGCGGCAGAGACGGAGCAGGCTGACCACCAGCTGGCCCAGCCCAAGGGAGGTAAGGCACCCGCTGGAAAAGGGGAAAAAAATGGCGGACAGCCTTGCTTGGCAACCCCCGTGAAATGGTCAATCGACCCCAAATGGGGTCCCGACCCACAGGTTGAGAACCACTGTTGTAGGGTGTAATAACAGAATTGTGTAAGCCAGACCTGGGGATTTTATGGCCCCTGGGCCACATCTGGCCCATTGGCTGTCCCTGTCGGGTTCGCATGGATTGCTTCTATTTTGAAGGCAACTGCTATTCCTCCCTCCCCCAATTTATGTATGTGTGCATGCCTACGCACCTTCACAGCTCTATCGAATCAGCCCTTCACAACAATCCCAGTGTCTCATGTGGCCCCTTGGGAAAATTAATTGCCCACCCCTATTTGTATGCCTATCAAAGCTACATAAACAAGAGACTGATTATTGATTATTTGATCATTACATTGAGTTCCTTTCTCATGTTTTCCACTTTCTCGGGACTGAGTTGGCATTTCTCCTTCTTTAACAATTCTCCCATTCCTTCCCCGAAGTCATCTCTCTTGTCTTTCTTCATACCTCTCCTGCTTGACTCTTTTCTAATCGGTCTTATCAGATTAAAAAAAATGAAATAATCCATTCTGTCTTGGTTCTGTGCAACAGAGTGAAAATAGATATTCAAGTGAGCTTCTACACATTTTGTGATCTCGGTGTCTTCCACGTTCTCTCAAACCTGGACGTTCATCACCATCATTTGCAGTGGTATTGGTTATTTACATCACATTCAAGCTTATTTGTTCCTGTCCAATTCTGAGATTTTTCTAGAACTGAAAACACTACTGTCTCTCTTTTTAAAAAGCCTTGCTTGGCTTCTGAACAGTTAACCAGCCTGATGCCAAATTCCACTATTAAGTAGAAAGACAACTTTTCAAAAGCAACCGTGATGTCTGTTGCATTAATGTTTTTCAGCTCCTTTTGAGAACTACATAGCTTATAATATAGTATTTTATGGAAAAGAAGCTTGTTAAGGAAAAAGAGCAGAGAAGGCGTACACATGTTTAAAGCTGGCACAGCGTTGCTACAAGCTAAAGAAATATCGTTTGCTTCAGCTAAGGGGATCGCCAGAAAGTGAATGCGACGGCGTAGCTATTAGACTTCTAAATAATAATAATAAAAGCAAGCAAACAAGACAAGGTTTCTAGTTAATTCCAGCGCTCTGTGTAGAAAAAGCTACAATATGCTGCTCTACAGAACTCATAAAAACCTCATTACTGGCAATATGTTGGTAGTCTACAAAGAAACCATTTTTCAAAAGCTACCTTTGGAGATCCCTCCAGAGATTATTTTTTTTTCCTAACAGGAGAGAGCACGCCAGATTAAAACGGCAGCAGTCATCTGACAGAGAGGATTAGTTATCAGAGATGGGAATACACAGGATTCTTAAGGGGAAAAAAACGTGAGTGCTTGTTTGAAATCTTTCTCCACTGAGCTGCATTAAAAAGCACCCTGGGGACAAGCAGAAGAACGGAGAAAGGAAAAATTGAAATCAGAATGTTCTTTTTAAAATAATTCCACTAGGAACATCCCCCTGGTAACTAAATTAGACGTGACAGCGAAGGGTTGATGGATTTCAATATGTACCTATGCAAGTCACACGTACAGTGAGGAAGAAAAACAAAAAGAAAACCAGCTATAAATTACCCTATAGCTTTTGTCTGGTTTTGTGTTTGTGTGTGTGTGTGTGTGTGTGCGCTTCTTTTGATTACCTCTGCTTCTTTTGTCTATATCGAACTTTTCCCACTGCCAGATGGGTTGGGGTGTAGTCACAGCAAGGATAGTGCACCAATCAGTTATAAAGCAGGGCGGGCAAAACTTTTGGGACGTGAGATAATAATAATAAAGTTGGAAGGGACCTTGGAGGTCATCTAGTCCAACCCCCTGCTCAGGCAGGAAACCCTACACCATTTCAGACAAATGGCTGTCCAGTCCCTTCTTAAAAACTTCCAGTGTTGGAGCATTCACCGCTTCTGGAGGCAGGTTGTTCCACTGGTTAATTGTTCTAACTGTCAGGAAGTTTCTCCTTAGTTCTAAGTTGCTTCTCTCCTTGATCAGTTTCCACCCGTTGCTTCTCGCCCTGCCTTCAGGACGATTTTAGATTTTAACTAACCGTGGGCAAAAAAAGGAATAAGAGCTGACTCTCAGGTTAGAAATTCTTTCCAATACAAAGAATTCTGCCCCAGAACAGTTGAGGGAGCTAGGTATGTCTAGCCCAGGGCTTTTCAATCTTTTCACCCATTGTACCACTTTTAGGATATGGCAACATCCGAGTACCACCAGTCGCCTAGCAAGGGGTCAAAAACTTGATGACAAAAAAAGAAAAAAAAATATGATGAAGTACACGTAGTCCTTGACTTACAACAGTTCGCTTAGTGATTGTTTGAAGTTACAATGGCACTGAAAAAGGTGCCCCCCCAAGCCACAGCCGAGCAAGACGCCTGCCCGCCTGGCCGCGCTCTTCCTCCTGTCCGAGGTTTTCATTGTTGTGAGCATTTCTGTTGAGGATCGGCAGCAGGGGCGGGATGGGGGGGGGTGTTCGGTTTTTATTTTCTCTGACGTTTTCTCCCCTCCCCACCCTGAACGGCTTATTTATTCATTTTTCTGAGCCTTACCTGGCTTCTTGTAGGTCACATAAATATAGAGAAAGAACTCAATGGCGTATGTGATAAGAGCTGCCCACCAGTTGATGACAAACATGACACCACAGCAGAGCACAGCTCCAAAAAGGGACACCCACAGGTTGTAATACCTAAAGGCAGGTCTCCAGCCTATGGGAATCAGAAAAAGTGAGTCAGTTCCTAATCATCCAGATACAATTGGTTGATTAATTGATTGAGTAAATGTATAGGGGTTGGACTAGAAGACCTCCAAGGTCCCCTCCAACTTTTGTTGTTCTGTTCCTTGATATGTCTTACTCCTGTGGTGGCGAACCTATGGCACGCGTGCCACAGGTGGCACGCCGAGCCCTCTGTGGGCACGCACGCCGTTGCCCCAGTCCTAGGCCTTCAGCTGGGTTTTATAAAACCTTTTCGCTTTAGGCCTCCGTCGCCGTGTGGGAAAAAAAAAGATTCAATCAATCAATCAATTTCAACTTTTCGTGGGAAAAAAAAAGATCTTGCAAAGTTGGAGTTGATTGATTGAACTTTTTAGTCCCACCCAGTCTGCCGTTACCACCGCAGCCACGCCCACCCAATGGGCCACGCCCACCCATCACCCAACGATACATAAGTGGGTTTTGGGTTGCAGTTTGGGCACTCGGTCTCTAAAAGGTTCACCATCACTGTCTTACTCTGTTGAGTAAGCATTACTGCCAGTGTGGGACTGGGAGTTGCCAGGCAGAAGAAAGTTTTAATTGTGACTTTTATTTTTGTTTTTGTTTACGTGACTTTGTTTTGAGCCTCTTTGGATTTGGTGAAGTCACTAAATAATAAAAGGAGAGGATTGTTCCAGCCCTTGGCAGCTGACGCCACAGGGCTGCTTGGATTTATTTCACTTGCTAGGATCCAACGGTGCCGTACCCCAATATATATTTACTGCCTTCAGTCATTTCTCTGCATCTCATAAAACACAGTTGTTGCCCAATAAAACACATGCCACAATACAAAAGGCAGCCCACCAAGGAGTAAAACACATTTTCCTCCACTTGTTATGCAAGATTTGCAGTCCTCCGGTCCCCCTAATGTGAAAGTTCCTATTCCTGCTTAAGCCTCCTGGAATTATTTGCTCTTGGAAGAAGTCTTAAAAAAACTGAGTTACCAGATGTAGAAGCAAGTGAAAATCTGCAATGAAAAACTAACCTGGAGATTTTGCATACGACGCGTGGAAACAAGAGAAATTGATGAGGGCGTAGGAAGCCAGGAAGAAGTTGGAGATGATCGGAGCAATAGTGTTCAGCTCGGCTGTAAAAATAAAAATAAAAGACAAAATATACGGGTGATGGATTGTGTCTACGAAGGGAGAGGTGATGCGGTGGATTGCATTATATTTTGTATTTTGTTAGTGTTGTGTTTGGACTTGTGTGAGATTTCAAAGCCAGGTAGAAATACTAAGTTAACCCGAATTAACTTTAAATCTGGTTCAGAAAGACTTCATCCAAAATTTCCCTTGCTAAGCAAGGCAGTTGTTAAGTGAGTTTTGTCTCATTTTACGACCTTTCTCGACACAGTTGTTAAGTGAATCGCTGCATTGTTAAGTTAGCAACACTGTTGTGAAGTGTAGTACCTGGCTTCCCCATTGACTTATTTGTCAGAAGGTCACAAAAGATAATCACACGCCTTTGCATTGCAACCGTCACAAATGTGAGTCAGTTGCCAAGGGTCTGAATTTTGATCACGTGACCATGGGGATGCTGCAGCGGTCATACATCTGCAAGTCCCTTTTTTCGGTGCCGTTGTAACTTCGAACAGTCACTAAACGCACAGTTGTAAATTGAGGACTACCTGTAATTGTTTAAGCCCTCCGTTTTTTAAAAACGAAACAAAAATTATGAAAGATTATTTTTTCTTCTTCTTCTTCTTCTTCTTCTTCTTCTTCTTCTTCTTCTTCTTCTTCTTCTTCTTCTTCTTCTTCTTCTCCTCCTCTTCTTCTTCTTCTTCTTCTTCTTCTTCTTCTTCTTCTTCTTCTTCTTCTTCTTCTTCTTCTTCTTCTTCTTCTTCTTCTTCTTCCTCCTCCTCCTCTTCCTCCTCCTCCTCCTCTTCTCTCTCTCTCTCTCTCTCTCTCTCTCTCTCACTCTCTCATAGAATAGAATAGACGTGGTCTGCACCAAACCCAAAAACTCTGTATTGTAAAAGTGACAAAGCTTTGTGTGTGTTCCAAATAGGAAATCACAAAGGAATTTTAAACAGTGTAAGATGAAAGAAAGGATGATCAAATGGGAACGTTTGTAGCAGAAATCTCCCAGGGATCAGCGCTGTGAACCTATTATGAAAGCAGGTAGAATTCACTGTGCTGTTGCTTTGGAACAGCAGACCTTTGATTTATGCAGACATTTGGGAAAAAAAACAACTTTATGCTACACTGAAAGGCCCTGAAGAAGATGCCCTCAAAGGCAGTTGCTTGATTTCTTAAGAAACTGAGCAAGATGCATATATACTATGCAAGTATCCGTAGCCAAATCTTTGGAAGACCAAAGCTTCCATTGATTCAATCACCCTCATACCTGGTGCAACCATGATGCACCATGCTTAACCATAATGGCTTGAATGACACAGTGCAAGGCACAAACATTAACACATCATGGTTTAGCCTGATATATAAACTCAGCGTTTCAGTGGCTGGCATCTTTCTTTCTTTCTTTCTTTCTTTCTTTCTTTCTTTCTTTCTTTCTTTCTTTCTTTCTTTCTTTCTTTCTTTCTTTCTTTCTTTCTNGCATTCGGTGGTATTTTTCTTAGACCGCTGTCGGTCTTCCCATTGCAGACACCAATCCCACACCCCTTGAGCTGTACCCACCAATCAGAATGAAGGCCAAAGCAATGAAGAAAGTCAGAATATATCCTCGGATCGGTTCATTATTTTTCCCATATCCTTTGGCAAAAAAGTGGAGCGCTCGATAGATGTTATCCTTGCAGAGAGCCTGTCGAAAGAGCAGAGTTTGGTTAAGAAATGTAATTCTTGGCTGCTTGGTCTCCTGGCTATCCTCAAAAGAACAGCACGCCCGTCATTGCAAGTGATTATCATTAAAGTCTTGGGTTTAAACTACATTATTGTGAATGGGCAGTTGCTTAGCCCACCCTGATAACTTTGGGAGTGCAGGGATCCTGTGAGGACGTGAAAGATGAAAACAACTCCATCTGCACCCTTGTGTGGGATACTGGCTTGTACTGATAATCTGGTGATCAGTTGCTCTCCCACACGTTTTCAGACACCCCATCAAGGTTGCCACCATAAACAAAGTAGCATTTCTGTAGTAAGGTAGTCCTGGACGTGCAACCACAATTGAGCCCAATGTTTTTGTTGTTAGGAGAGTTTTGCCCCATTTTACGACTTTTCTCATCACAGTTGCTAAGGGAATCCCTGCAGTCGTTAAATTAGTCACCCGGTCATTAAGGGAATCTTGGCTTCCCCACTGACTTTGCTCGTCAGAAGGTCACAAAAGGGGATTCAACTGACCCCGGGACACTGGAACTGTGATAAGTACAAGTCAGTTGCCAAGCATCCGAATTTTGATCACCTGACTGTGGAGATGCTGCAGTGCTTGTAAGTGTGAGAAACAGTCATTTGTCACTTTTTTCAGGGCTGTTGTAACTTCGGTCATTAAATGGATGTTTGTAAATTGAGGACTACCTGTAATGGCATTATGTTAAGAGCCTGGGCGAGGAGAACCTCAATTCAAACAAATAATAATAATAATAATAATAATAATAATAATAATAATAATAATAATAATAATAATAATAATAATAATAATAATAATAAAGTTGGAAGGGACCTTGGAGGTCATCTAGTCCAACCCCCTGCTCAGGGAGGAAACCCTATATCAGGGCTTTTCAACCAGTGGCACGGGTACCACCTATGGTACATGGGCACCTGGCAGGTGGTACGCGACCATCCTAGAAAAGTAGCGGGGGAGGGGAATGAGCTGAACCAGTGGCAGCACCACACAAGCCTGAGCGAGAGACGGCTGGAGCTGCAGGGCTGTCAGGGCTCAGCGGAAGCGCCAGGATCAGCTCTTCTTCGGGGCTGTCAGGGCTCAGCGGAAGCGCCAGGCTCCAGCTGGAGCTCGGCGCTGATCCTGGCACTTCTGCTGAGCCCTGAAGAAGCACCAATCAGCTGGAATGTTGCAGCATCTCCAGGGTCTTGTGATTTACATTCAGATGCTTGGCAACTGATTCATATTTATGACAGTCACAATGTCCCAGGGTCATGTGAAGTGACCAAACCCTGCTGTAACCACCCAGCAGATGGGGGGAATAAAAACCAAACACCCCGCACTCCACCTCCGCTGCCAATCCTCAACAGAAATGCTCACAACAATGGAAACCTCGGACAGGAGGAAGAAGCGCCACTGGGTGGGCAGGCAGGTGTCTTGCTCGGCTGTGGCTTGGGGGGCACTTTTTTCATTGCCATTGTAACTTCGAACAGTCACTAAGCGAACTGTTGTAAGTCGAGGACTACCTGTACTTTATCACTTTTTTCCTTTTTTGGGGGGGGCATCAAGTTTTTGACATCTTTCTAGGCGACTGGTGGTACTCAGATGTTGCCATATCCTAAAAGTGGTACAATGAGTGAAAAGGTTGAAAAGCCCTGATCTATGGGACTCACACCTGTTGTATTTGCGACGCACACCCCGGCTGATCAACTGGTCAGCATAAGCATGGCTAACAAATTGTAGAGCTACGGGAAAAGATACAAAAACACTGTTTGGCCTCTGAATGTACCTGGAAAACCTTTGGCGCGCTGACAAGTGAAGCTAATGCGGAAGAGAGCGTGGCAGAGAATATCCCAGCGGTGATTAAGGGTCCAAACCCTGAAACCATGCTCATAACCTGTGGGAAGGGAAAAATAAGAATAAAAGAAAGCCATTAAATTGGTACCAGCTCGGCTAGAAACAAAATTTGCAAATCCCTCAGATTGTTAAATGTATAACAACGTGCATTGTTATTCTGTCTCTTCTCTATGATCTTTTAAGTCACCCATTAACAGCTTGTCAGGGAGATTGTTCAGCACAGCAAATTACTTTTTGTTGTCAAAAAATAAAATAAAATACCCCAAACAATTTGCTCATAATGGAGAAGATTATTCTTTAATTGAAACTTGTTTTGTTCCTTTGGAAGCCAAAGGCATCGGTTTTTATTTCTTCTGCAAATGATACCGTTCAGAAAAGACTCGTATTAGGAACAAGAGGCCAGCTAGCTATATCTGCAGGAGGAAGCAATCTTCCTATCAGCAAAAGAAAATTTGCATGTGTAACGATCTCCAATCCAGGCATGTACATAAATAGATATTATTGTATCATCTATTTAAGAAAGTTCTATCAACAATTTCATGGGACTAGTATCTGGGAAAGTTACTGCGGAGCGTAGATAGCGAAGCAAGACCTTTTGTGAGACCTTTTATTGATGGACATATAAATCATAGATAACTCTATGTATTTCCAGTAGATACACTTTTTAAAAGAGTCTCTAAAAGAGCGAACATCCAAGTTCTCACAATCTTTCATGGTGTGGTTTGAGTAAATACTTTCTATCACTTAGCATTTAATTGGGCTGTGCACTTTGCCATGAAATTACTCCAGTCTAAAGTTTTGATGGAATTCCAGTTTAGATCAGGAACTTTAGGATGTCTGTATTCTCCTTCCATCCATTTAACAAAATGTTATTTTGCAGAAACTTAGAAACAGAAACTGACTTATCTCTGTTGTCTAATAGAAGATCATCGTCTACCGGATATCAAAAAGGGCTTTCCCCATTTCTGTTGATCTTAATTGGAGCTACGGTACAAGCTCCTACAAGAACACACCCAAGCTCAGAGAGCATCAAGGATCCATAGTTCTCCTCCTCCTCCTCCTCCTCCTCCTCCTCCTCCT